TTTCCTCACGTTGTGTAGTGCACGTGCTACCCGCGCAGTTATGTTTTAATTAACATAGAAGCTTGAGATTGCACGTGCTTGCACCAGCAGAGGAAGCTGAATTATCCTCACTTCGGGTTGTGAAAAAATTCCGCCAGGCGGCGATGCCCAAACTTCTCGCCGCGAATCATCTTCGTTTCACTTTAATTAACTCCAGGCGCAGCCGACGCTACAAGCTGGGGGAACCAACAAGGCGGTAAGTTGGGCTAGTTGGTTTAACATCGTCAAACGTGAAAACAGCGCAAAAAATTGAACAAAGGACAAGTGAAAGGAGTGCACGGACAAAGCTTGTCCGTGCACTCCTTTCACTTGTCCTTTGTTCAATTTTTTGCGCTGGGGGAACCAACCCGACAGCGTCCAAAGCGCACCATCGTGGTGTTCGTCATGTTTCTGTACGTGTTCTACCTCTGTCATCGCTGAACCGATCATAAAAAGAACAGGCCTAAAGTGACTTGCGATTTCGACGCTGCTTGATTGATTTCATTAACTCGTAGCGTCTGCTGCGTCTGAACTTAATAACTGTCTTTGTCCCCACTCACTCTTCGAACGCATTTGATACTGCACCGCAATGCACCAGAAACCCGAGTAGCTTGTCCCCCGGCAGTGAAATCTCGGCGACAAACAAAGTGCTCCGTGCTGCCGCTGCTAGACTGCGCAGCTACTGAAGCCAGCTCTACGCGATGCATCCTGGGCTGTGGAGCGCATTTTGAGCACATAGTTGAGCTTTCCTGCGGAATACTGGATGCCGCACATGAGTCCACAGCTCGGCTACCCAGCCATTTTTCGGCCGGGTTACGCGCGCTGGAAGTGTGTATACAGCTGACGCGATTCTCATGGGCGAAACTGATTTAACGCGCGGGCCAGTGATCGGTGTTTCGAATGCATCGCAAGGGAAGTGTACTTGTGGGACATTTACGAGGAAATCAGTGTCCTCTCGGAGAGCCGAAATCCTCCTCGGACCAGCGGAGCTGTGTCTCCCGACATTCCATTCTTTCTTTGTCAATATTCTAACGACGCTCTCTCTTTCCTCCGGTGACTGGCACCTCGACCGTCACCACTTCTGTCCAGCTGTTTCCCTTCATTCCGTTTCTTCCTTTAGCGAGGCGCTGCGAAGACTGAGGCACATCCAGTGAGCGCAATGTCCCGCGACCCACTCGTAAATAAAACATACCTAACAAAAAAAAGAAAAAAAAGAACAGTGTTGTGTTTTATTTTTTTTTTCCTTTCGTCTCCGATTCTAAAGATGTCTGCGTACCAAACCACCTCGCTTGCGCACTGATCAGGTATGAACATTTTCTGAAGAATTACGCGACTCGTTTTCTTCTTAGGCTATAATGGGAGGAGGGCATTCCGCCTCTTTTTTTTTTTCTAGTGTTTTTGAGTGTTTAGTTGTTTCAAGCGCTTTGATTGTAGTGGTAAACACGCGATCTAAGAAGAGTTAAAAATAAACGCAGCCTCAAATTATATCCCAGACATACAGATTGCTCTGCATTGCCCCAAATGCATTTTACTTGTGCGGTTCGACATAAAGCATGTATATGTATATATGAGTAATACTGCCTATTTTTTTGTTTTGTTTTTGTTTGGGGTAGCATTTATTTGAGGTCGATCCGGCTTCAGACAACGTCAACGCGCTGTTTACAAACGAGTCTACGTTTGCCCACACCAGCTGTTTGTGATGCTCTTGCGCAGAAACCGGATTCGTGTTAGGCGACGCGTCTACGCATGCGTCAGCGTCACGAAACCGCAGAGCCGCACGTGGTGCTACGAACACTGACAATCCGCTGAGCTACGCTCAGTATATGCACGTGTTACGTATATACGAAATCGCGGTGACGCCACTCTCTCCCTGAGTGTGTAAGACCATTCACGCGATGACATCCGTGGAAAGCGTGCGGTCGTCACTCCGCATGCTCTTGCTACGTGAGGGGCTCGGAAACGCTCCACAGTGCACGGGCTTTGTGACCTTTCTGCACGCCGAACACGCCTCGTAGCTGTGTTCCCACTTTCGTACAAAGCAAGAGTAAGATTAAGACATCCGACCGCTGATATTGGGGGGAGGGGGCTCTGCTCACACGGCATTTCTCGCGTCCAATGCTCTAGATTACCGTCGCGCAAAGCTGCGCTTTCATAACTCTTCATTAAGAAGCATATGACGCTTGGAAATGCGTCGTTACAATCGTGAAACAGTGTATATGCACGCGCGAATCTGAGCTCCGTTGGAAGCCACTGCCCAATTACCAGAATCCGAATAAGGAACGCCGACACAGCAGTGGTGACCACACGATCCACGCCGGCCGACGACCAGTTCGCGCTTTCCACTTTTCCCCCGCTCCCTCCTCTCTCCCCTTCTACCCTGTCCAACGTTGTCTGTTTCTCCCTCCCGCATGGTGAGGAGGGTCTTCTGCCTTGCAGAATCTCTGGTCTGGTCGTCGGCCTTTAAGCTGAAGTATCCAGAAGGTTCTGGAGGTAACATACGCGGCATGTATAGCAGCTATTCGTGTGAACAGTGGCACATAAATCGAATTGTCGTGCCCATAGAAGGAAACGTTTCGACAAGGGTGAGGGTCGATCGAAGTTCTAGACGAATTTCGCGGTTCGCATTCTAAATGACACTCCAAGTAACAAGAAAAAAAAATTAGAAACCACAGAACTGATTACCAAATGCTTTTGGTAATCAGTTCTGTGGTAATCAGTTGGTAATTTACTTTTCACACACACGGGCAGGTTAGGCGAAACTGAATTGATGCATAGGTCACGTGACGTAAATTTTCCGCTAAATTTAGCTGGGAACCTAAAACATGGCCAGGAAATATGATATCCATAAAGGTGAAAATCTGGAGTAGTTGCTTGATAATGCTATAGAATTAGAAAGTTCTCAAGATAACATTAACAGTGAAGGCGGACGTCAAGGCACATTTGCGAAGTAATAAGTAGGTATATTAATCAACTATGCTCCGTTCACCCTTAAGCGGAGACTAGAAGCTCCGCCTTCAGCGCGAGCTCGCTGGCTTCCGCAGTGCTTTGGCTGCGCATGCCTGAGTGTTCACACTTGTGTTAGCAAGGGCAGAAAGCTCGCGCTGAAGGCGGAGCTTCTAGTCTCCGCTTAAGGGGGTACTCCAGCGATTTCTTCATGCATGGTCCCCGATTTGCTTGAAAATTTGCTAAACACACCAACAAACATCGATGAAATAGTATTCCAAATATTAGGTCAAAATATTTTTCTTGAAGGTATTGAATTTATAATTTTGGTCCTCACCGTGTTTTATTCAAACTGAATGTCTCTACTGGCAACAACAAAAAAGTGACGTCAGTGGAAGTGCAGGGGTTCACTCTTTGGACTGTAGAATTTGTTCCCAACTGATTCTAAGCAGTTTTATGGTGTAAAATGAATGCTTTAGAAGCTCGCTCCAGTAGCCGCGCACCCGCACGGAAGAAATGCTTGGCATAGTCTATTGTTTGAATGCATGCCCGACTGGCAGACCTGCCTGCCACTGACGTCACGGCACTGAAAAGTGCCGTAACATTTCAGTGTTGATTTTTGCATACTTTTTACTTGCCGATTTCACAATAACTATTATGAATTTCTCGATACTGAATAGCGTACAACAAAGGGTGAAGGCGGGGATTCAGAAAATATGGTTAGTTGGGGTAGCTCACAGAAGTCGCCGGTGTACCCCTTTAAATGTGAACGGAGTATACACTCGGCGACAACTTCCTTGGCATTTCCGAAGAAATCAAGACCACGCGAGTGCAATGGTACCGATAACTTTGGCATCATTTGCAAGGAAAAGCTGTTCCCAAGTATATTACGGACAATAGAAATGTTAGTTCCAGCACCAGCGTCACAACAGCTGAAGACCCGTAGCCCGTCGTCTAAATAACTTGTAACAGTTATTGCATTTTTACTTAGCATCAGTTGGTGTAAAACTGAGGCTGCCATTGGACGCGATATGGAACCTCAGAGCGAAAAAGGTGCCACGTGTCATCAGTCAAAAGGTGCCAAGTATCATCAGCCAAAATGGCGGCGTAAAATGCTCACGTGACTCATCTTCGCTGCGCGAACGGGACCCAGCGCTATCACATCACACAGCCGAAGCCAAAATCCGATAGGGCCGATCATGCAGCGCCAATAGTGTATCATCACGGCATTCGTCGTTCGTGCGTTTGCTATCGCCGCCTAAACCAGGCAGTGACGCTCAATGCCCCGTAATCCTGCGATTATTTTTCTGTTCCCCGGTGAGCAAAGAAAACAGTGAGCACCGTGACACGTGACAATACCCCTTTGGCGCGCTGTTTGATTTGCTTTATCGAATTGTATAGCTTCGGCTGATATCGGACTTTGAGTGAAACGGAGTGCTGCTTCTACTCCTGACCTCCTCCCAAGGAGGTTTCTCACGTAACCGCTTCAAGACCACGTCCGCGTTCAAAATTTTTCACTCTCGTTCGAAACGTACGTGCTTCAGAGCAAAGAAAATAGAGAAGTGGCACGTGACAGAATCGCGTGACGTATAGGACACTCGGGAGCACCTTACGTCATTCCCCTCGGTCACACGCGTGACCCTGCGCACGACGTGGCCGACATTACACCCGAATCGGGTCTCAGACGTCACAGACCTGAACACGAAGTAATAAAACCCGGCCACAGGACACAGCGAGGAAGGGTCCCGGTGGGTCGCGGCACGGGTGAGAGGACTTACGCGTGGAAGAGACACTCACGTCCACTATTATCCACAATTTACGTCGGCACCTCCTCGCGTCCAGGAGCACGCACATCGAGCGGTTCCCGCAAACTCTGTTTACCGCTAAGCTGACAGTGTAGCGAAAGCTACGGGCTCGTTGGACCGGTCACATATATTCATCCTTCACCACGTAATTCCGCAGTTCCCAGCGCACTGTCAGCTTAGGGATGAACGGAGTAGAGCTAAAAGTGTTCATCCCGACCCCTTCGAGGAGCGTACCTGCGAGGCCTCGGCAGTGTCGGCCGGCACCACGTGCGAGTTGATGTAGTAGTACTCCGGGGCCCTCCGGCAGGGCAATGCCTCGTGGGCGTAGGCGCACGTCAGGCTCAGCTGGTTGAACACCGTGTCGTTGGGGCACAGGTAAGCGGCGTGCAGCACGAACTGGTTGTTCTCCGGGTCGGCGAACGGCTCGCAGTAGTGGAACAGCGAGCAGTTGGCCGGGTCGCCGTAGTAGCCGAAGATGCGGCCCTCGCACGAGAAGCCGCCGGAGTCGCTGACGGTGTCCGACGCCGTGGCGTTCACCACGGCGGCCGGTTCGAGGGCTGCGCCGGTGCTGTTGTCGCTCCGGTCCAGCTGGGCAACAGAAAGGGGCGGCAGGGGCGCGCTGAGAGCCCCATCGGTACGCGTCGCTTTCGCGGGACACCTACTAAGCTGACGTCTCGCCCGAGCCTTATCGTCTGCCAGGAGCATTCGATGGAGGCCACCGAACATGAGACGGTGCGTGCGCTCAACGCCGTGGCCAAGTTGTCCTGTACGACTGATTCTTTTTAGACTGCAGTTTGTTGCACTTTATGTGCGAGCGAAGCCGAAGCTACGAGGACGATCATGTTACCCCGAATGATGCTTGCACTGCAGAAAGCGCGTGCTTCGGAGGGAAGCCGAAGGCCCGAAGATTGCTCTTGTAGCTTCTGCCAAGTTCGCATATGAAGTGGAACGGACTAGGGAGAATAGGTGGCTGTACTCTGTTCACCCTAACAAGGCAGCGAAAACTACAGAACGAAGTCGAGAATTTCAAGCATGTTTTTGGCGGAAGGAGCGCTCGCGTTATAATCCGTTGTCCGATAAGCTACTTTCTCGTCGGACCAGTCAGACGTCGGTCTTGCACCATGTGATCACACTCTTTGCGCTGATTTTCGTCTTGCAGTATGTTGTTCCTCAGACCAGCACGCGGTAACCTGTCACGGCTCTTGAGTGCGTCCCCAGTCCGATGCCACGAAGTATTTGCCCGAATTCTGTACAATACATTGCTCTCATATAGGTTCTAAATATTAATTTCTTTAATGAGATGCAAAAAAAAAAAGTTCGTTTTTGCAAGGGCGAATAGGGCGTACTCTTCAAGCAAGCTTTTTATGGGGAAATCCTCGACGGGGATCTTGGAAAAGCTCCAGTCCTGTAGCCGCTGCTATGTTTACATAGAATTCGAGTGGACCGCTTGCTCCCTGGAAAGTTCTGAAAGCGAGGCGTGATCCTTTCTGTTCGTGTGTGGTTTTCGAAAATAGGGTTCCTCAAATATCGTCCGACTGAATGACCTCAAATTTGTGGCGATAAAATAAAATAGTCCTAATAGGACACACTACGGAGATAAATTTTACGATTGGAGGCGGCCACTCGTATCGGGAAAACAACATGGCGCACGCGTCAAAAATAAATAAATAAATAAAAGTTTAGCAAAAAAAGAAAAGAAGAGAGAGCGGCAAGGAGGCCCCGATGCGAGGAATCCAGCAGCTGGTCTTTCGGGTGGACCTACTCACCGACGCGGCATAGGAGGAAGACGTGGCCAGGACCAACGCTGCAACGAGAAAAGACGCGCTTAGCGGCGTGCCCTGACCCCGTTGAGTGCCAGTGAACTCCCGGAGGCATCCGGGTGCCGCAGCGCCGCCCGCACTGCCCCTCCGAACCCCTCCCGAAGGGACAGCCAGGGTTCGGAGAGGTGCCGACCCCGGAGCCGATTGCCCGACGCGGGGCCACCACTCACCCAGCGCTAAGAAGCAAACTCTGTGGCAGGACATGTCTCTGGGGCAGCGTGTGCCGCGCAAGCGATCCGGGCGCCGGCGTGTCGCCACAGTCCGCGCGGGCACGCTCCGCGCCGCTTTATACGACGGCCGAGGAGGCGGCACGTGACCAGGCGTCTTTCCTCGGCGGGGTTCCCTTTGTGCGGCCCGCCTCCGCCGCGCTGCGTGCAGCACACTAACCTACTTTTCCGGGCCGGCAGACTTCGGGCCATCTCGGGTCCGCGAGGGGAGCGGGCCGGCCGCTCGGACGGACGCTCGACCGCCGAGACGGGCCCCGGTGCCCGGGCGCCCGGTCCTCGCACGCCGATGCTTCCGTGAGCGACGCACGGCCGCTGGAGCACATCGACATAGATGCTATCTGGGCCATAACCGGCTGGCCACGGGGACGACCAGGAAAGCTGAGCCCCACGCCGCGCGCAGGACCCTCGCCGACATAGGAAGAGAAAACGAACCCCGACTGACCAGCGCGGGTCGCTTTCACTCCTCAGGGACCCCCGGCGGTTTCTTCGGGTCTTTGCGTAGCCTCGGTGCCGGCCGACCCGACCCCGAGAAGGTTTCCGGTCCGCTCGGATCTTACCAGGACCGTGCGCAACTACGCCCTCTTCCCCTGGAAGACGACTTTGTGTACACACTTCCGTGGATACCCGAAGGAAGGAAAACAAAACGACAGCAGGAGGAAGTGCCAAAAAAAAAAAAAAGAAAGAAAGAACAAAAAATGATTCGAAGCTCTGGTTCCAGTTGGCTACCCTCTGCTGTTTGGGACGAGCGGATTAAAATGAGGAAAGAGAGCCTAAGACTAAAAGGCGCGAAGGTCACCACGCTTCTACAGTAAGCGTGTACTGTTCCCCGAAGTGAATTGTGTGTATGTTTAGACAACGGGAAGGGTAGTCAGCCCTAATGAACGTCTCCGCTCTAGATGAGGCATCTTGCCCGTGTAGTGCTACTGCTAGCCTGGGGTCTTTAACGAGCACCGAGCAGCAGAGATACACGACTCCACGCTGGTACAATGCTCACCTAAATCGAAATGAAGCCAGCATCCGTGCTCACCAACTAGCTGCGCTACTAACGATTCCAAGAGTGCTTTCCCCGGGAAACATAGAAACGGCTTGACAACCCTGGTTCCTTTTTGTCGGCTTTCCGAATCTTGGCACGGAATACACCTTTGCCGTGAATAAATGCTCCTTGTATCCATGGGCATTCCCGCGTGATTTCGAGTTTTCTTTTTCTCGTGTCATTTAGACGGTCGCATTGACGCGGCGAATTATTTTAGCCACAACTTGGAAACCCCAGGACGGCTTGTCCAGAGATCCCTGACTGTATACAGCACCATCAAGTGTATGCATGATAGCATCGATTCATCTTCGCAGGCCACATGAAAGATACGGTGAAAAATGCCCATCTAACAGGTAATAAATTGTGAATCATTACCAATAAAATGTGCATCGCAAAACCTTTTTTTTAGAGCTGTTTTTTTGTTGCTTATTGTATTTTTTTTTTAAATAATATGGCATTGTTTGCAGTCAACGAGATTGCTCCAACAGCTAAAAGGGATGCCCAAGAACCAATCACCGATGCAAGAAGCGCGAACATAAAAATTTCCGACGCTCTGCTTTTCTCAAAATGTTAGTGCCTAAACGGATCGCTCACTTCCCTTTGTCCAAAAAAATCGTCCAGCGTATAAAAAACCGCATCTTGTACGCTCAGAAGTTCCTGCAAGCACGCTGCTCCGCTATTGACTTGGAACACCGATCATAGGTCTGCCTTTTAGTAATAGCAGTATTGTGTAGCCCCAATGACCATACAGTTTTAGAAAAAAAAAAAAGTAAAAACGCGTTTTTTGCTGTTGTTCCTGTCGCCGAGATTGTAGTGTTACTGGATCAGAACATACCAATTGGTTTTATAGTTTGGACTGATTAAACGAAGACTGGTGATTGTCGACCCGAGTGCTTTGCGCGAAAATGATACACTGAGGAACTTCTAAGAGCGCAGGACGCGCAAACCTTCTCCCCTTAGGAGTTCATTTTATTACCACGAGGCACCGAGAAGGCAGCCACGATAAGGTCCAGGAGGTAGACTTACACGCTTGCACGGATTACAAGTTGGCAGATCAATGGCAATCAGTGATTTCCTAACGTGATTTCGTAATCGTCGCTCTCTCGTAGAAAAGACACCCGAGAAAAATCCAGTTCGTCTTCTGCCCCCGACGTACTTGGAAAAGCCAATCGCAACATCGGCATTGCCATTCGCCAAACTCTCTGCGTAGAATTGTAGCTATTTCCTAGAGAGCACCACATAAATATCGAAGAATGTATCTATCGGAGATGCTGTGGATGACGGAGTCACCCAATCGGTCGCAAAAAATACTGTCGCTTTACCCCCCCCCCCCCCCCCCCTTTTTTTTTTTTTTTTTTTCTGGCTGGCGTTAATATTTTGGGCGTGACACACTATCGCGGAGCGCATACTGGCGCATCTTGATAGCACACCCAGGGTCAAGGCCGCTGAACTCAACGTCCTCGGGTGAGATACGTCCACTGGGAGTCCAGGGCCATCTGCGTCGTTCACTGATAAAGCAAACAAGATCAAGTCCGGGGTCTGGCTAGTCGACTAATTAATTTCGAAACCATCGTTCGACCCAGAAAACTTTGCGTGCACCACTATATACGTCTTTATACCTGAAGCCGGAATATACGGCAGTACGGGCGAACCCATTTAGCGTCCAAGCAAAAATTGTTTTGCGGGTGTTTAGAGAGCTGAATGCTACACTTCCTGATGCCTGATATATGTGCTACAGATGACGACTTCAACCTTTCTTTTGTTGGGTATTTATTTTTCTTCCAATCTTACGACACTTACGCGCACGCATCTCAATCGCTTTCGCAAAAACTTGGCACAGTTCCACGAAAACGATTAGCGATTACTTAATTTTTTTTTGTGCGTTCGCGTGCAAAGTGACTACCCGGAAGTCTCAGTATACGGCAGCCATCGTTTTGCAAGGACACACTCCGTTTCACCCCAAGCTGACAGTGCGAAGCGACATTCTCGTTTAAACAGTCGTGCCTCTGTATTTTGCCACGTGATCGTGTCCCCGATCATACCCTCCATTACCACCTCTATACTCACAAAGCCCGGCAGTTCGACGACGGAGCCATAGGCTGCTCTATAGCAAATTTGGAGCACAAGGATCTGGTAGCACAGAGCATGAAAGATCCGCTTCTCGGGGAACCTGGACGTCAGCGCACAGCTTTTGCAGCGGTAGGACGCTGCGTTTCGGCGTCTCGCCGCAGCGGGGCGCCAGTCACGTGGCTCTCCTCTCATTCGTTGTCTGCCGCTCCACCTTTTCCATTTCGGCGGCCGCTTCTCGTGGCGATCTGCCAGGCTATGTATTCACACGCGGGGAGCAGGGTCAGGTGATGAAAGGGAGGCGAGTGATGGGTCTGGCGAGCGTGTAGCTCCAACCGCACTGTCAGCTTAGGAGTGAATGAAGTGTATACTCATACTATATTGCTCAAAAAAAAAAAAAAAGAAGAAATCTGGGGGTTATAATCGGCATTATATATGACGTGAGTAGCATTTTTGTTTGCAGTAAGTGCGGGTTTGTGATGTTTTTATTTGTCGTCGAGTATCTTAAGCCATTCCGGTAAGAGGCATTTCGTAGTGGAATGCTTGATTCAGAGATATCATTACTTATTGCGTTTACATGGCGTGTCCAATTTCTTTTTAATTACTGCCTGTCGCTGACGTATGTTGAACCGTCTCGTGCACCGGTGGTTACTCCTTCACATTTCTCCGCGCGCGTCAAATATTGCGCATTTCCTGGCGGGACCCAGAGGAGCCCGTGACGTCACAAATCATTGCTCTTCGTCTCCCTGCAGCGTCGCAACAAAAGCTCGTGCTGCGGAACCATGGATTCCGCAGCACGAGCTTTCGTTCTAGCTGCTTTCAGCTTCCGTGCACATAAACTCAGCCACCGAACACCCCTCAACGGCGTCAAGGCTAGCGTAGCTTCCACGGGGTTGCGACGCTGCAGGGAGACGAAGAGCAATGATTTGTGACGCCACGGGCTCCTCTGCGCCCCTCCCGAGGAGCCAGAGGAGCGCGTTCGAGTTCGTTCCCCGCCACTGCCCGTTTCGACCTACAGCGTGTACACTCACGCTTCGATCTCACTTTGGACTTTCCGCATAAATTGGGTTCTTGAAGTATTACGCTAGGATTTCCTACAGATGTGCCCGAAGGCGGTTGCAGCTTTCACTAAAAATGTTGAAAGAGTGACTCATCTGAGCAAATCACGAAAAATAAAAAACTTTTTTTTGTTCCTTCTTCGCGTATGTACACATTGCGACACTGTTAGCGTGAACACGACATCGCGCATTTTACTTCTAAATAGCATTAGCGAGCACGAAATTTTATCGCTTACATTATACAAATAAATGAGCTCTTTCCGTAGCAATTGGGCTAAATAAAGTGAAGGAAAGCTAAACCAATTGTATTTTTCTTTTCATTTCATCCATTTTTCTGTCGTATTAAACACCAGAATAGTCCAAAACAATTTTTGTATGATTTTGAGAAAAAAAAAAAGAAGGTTTAGAGCCTTTTTTTTTTTATAAACAAGGCCAATTTCTATGTTCTTTCTTTTGACTCCGGATGTTTTATGTATTCCTACTCTCAATTAATGAATACACCACCTTCGGGCACCTCTGTAGTGAATCCCACCACGATACGTTAGAAAACACATTTTTACGGACCGTCCAAACTAGGATCGAAACGTACACGCGGTAGATGAGCATCGTACCTCCATGCGTTCGTGCGTCAAAAAGAGTTTTCGCAGATCGATTCCGCCGCCCCACCTCCGCCATCCGCTTCTAGATGTAGAACTCTGCAGGAAAAATTAGCGTAGCAGGAGGGAAAACAGGGTCCACGAAAAGTCTTTAGACCCCCGGCACGGCCGTGCCAGTGTCCCACGGTCGTGCTGCAATGACTAGACTGCTCACCTACACGCGAGGCGCCAGACGCAACTCGGGGCAGATTATCTTTCTGAGGTGTCTAAACTTAACTCATAGAACAAAGTACTTATCAGAGACTTCACATAGATAGGACTTAAGAAAATTGCGTTGCTAGCAGGAAGCTTTCCAGCGCAGCGCAGGAAAGCGCTCCTCGTGCGCTGCTTTTCGACGGTGGTTTTCTGCGGAAAAAGCTCGAGATTTCCTTGCGGGGCTTGGAGGAATGACCTTTCCCCCGTTATAACGGACATGAAATCGTCTTGTCCGCGGCAACAAACTTGTCCTTGTCCAAACGCATGAAAAAAAGTGAATTAGTAAATTGTTGGTGAAAATAATCCCTGGAGAAGGGGAACAAAGGGACAAAGGACAGACACAAATCTCCAAACACAGCTAG